GGGTGGACTGGGGGTTGGACTGAGGGGGGTAGGTGGACTGAGGGGTTGTGAAGGAGATTGGGCATTGGTGGGCAGAGGGATGGGGTGAGGAGGGTGAAAGGAGAGAAAGACTACTTAGATAGCAGAGTTTGCAGAGATAAGAGATAGGGTGTGTTGGGTAGATAGGGGTGTGTTGGGTAGATAGGGGTGTGTTGGGTAGTTAAGGGTGTGTTTGGTGGATAGGGGTGTGTAGTGTAGATAGGTGTGTGTTGGGTAGATAGGGGTATGTTGGGTAGATAGGGGTGTGTTGGTTAGATAGGGGTGTGTTGTGTAGATAGGGTTGTGCTGGGTAGATAGGGGTGTGTTGGGTGGATAGGGGTGTGTTGGGTAGGGTAATGGGGTGGCCTTTTCTAGGCCATAATTCCAGCACAGAGAAGGGATGTAGATTTATGGAGATTTGAGAATGGCGAAGGAGTGATGTCTTAATTCTTATGTGATGATATTCATTCTCTATGGGACAAGTTTAGCACCATATAATGGAAATAGATATAACTGCATTAATCCTTATAAACAAACATTGATGTTGCTGTTAGAAAACATCAAGTAATTGTGTGGTATTTGATGATTTTTCATATGAAACCAAATAATGGAAATATGGTATATTAAAAAAAAGCAGGAATTTATATTTGTATAAAGTACAGATTGAAGAAATAATGCAAAAAAAAAGTTGTCTTCAGAGGGAAAGATGATGATAAATACCGGCTAGATTAAGTGTGAAATTATTGTTTAGGCTATGGTCCCTTGTTAGCACAAATGGTGTTTGGCTGTGGTAAAATGAAGATATTTGACTTGTTTCACAAGTAAAAACATTGAAATTGTGTAGACAATAAGGCCATGGTAAAATGATTTCTAATTCATTTAGACATTATGTGACTTGTTTTACAGATGATAAAAAGGACGGTGAGGAAGACAATGAATCAGGGAGTCAAAAACCGAGAGTCAGTTCCTTTCTGCTCAGTAAAGACCAAAGGCCAAGGTCAATGCACCTGCCCCGGAGCAAATCTGACCGCTACAGTCCAATGAGGCAGCTGACCCCTAAAAGGGACTCCTGGGTTGGTTTAATCACTTGAAGCAGCTTTATTTTCCTGACAATTTGCATTGCCTAGACATCTCATTACACATAACTCACCTGTATAAAGAATAGGGTTTCTGCCTAGACATCTCATGACACATAACTCACCTGTATAAAGAATAGGGTTTCACATTGGCATGTTAAAAGTAGCAGAGCAAGTGTTGACAGTGATTTATGTAACCTTCAGTAGTTGTCCAGTGTTGCTGATATTTGCATGGTTCCTAACGGCTCTAACACTGAGGGTGTAACCTTCAGTATTTGTCCAGTGTTGCTAATATTTGCACGGTTCCTGACGGCTCTAACACTGAGGGTGTAACTTTCAGTATTTGTCCAGTGTTGCTGATATCTGCATGGTTCCTGACGGCTCTAACACTGAGGGAGTAACCTTCCGTAGTTGTCCAGTGTTGCTGATATTTGCATGGTTCCTGATGTCTCTAACACTGAGGGTGTAACCTTCAGTAGTTGTCCGGTGTTGCTGATATTTGCATGGTTCCTGATGGCTCTAACACTGAGGGTGTAACCTTCAGTAGTTGTCCGGTGTTGCTGATATTTGCATGGTTCCTGATGGCTCTAACACTGAGGGTGTAACCTTCAGTAGTTGTCCGGTGTTGCTGATATTTGCATGGTTCCTGATGGCTCTAACACTGAGGGTGTAACCTTCAGTATTTGTGCAGTGTTGCTAATATTTGCATGGTTCCTGACGGCTCTAACACTGAGGGAGTAACCTTCCGTAGTTGTCCAGTGTTGCTGATATTTGCATGGTTTCTGACGGCTCTAACACTGAGGGTGTAACCTTCAGTAGTTGTCCGGTGTTGCTGATATTTGCATGGTTCCTGATGGCTCTAACACTGAGGGTGTAACCTTCAGTATTTGTCCAGTGTTTATATTTGCATGGTTCCTGACGGCTCTAACACTGAGGGTGTAACTTTCAGTATTTGTCCAGTGTTGCTGATATCTGCATGGTTCCTGACGGCTCTAACACTGAGGGAGTAACCTTCAGTATTTGTCCAGTGTTGCTAATATTTGCACGGTTCCTGACGGCTCTAACACTGAGGGTGTAACAGTCAGTAGTTGTCCAGTGTTGCTGATATTTGCATTGTTCCTGACGGCTCTAACACTGAGGGTGTAACCTTCAGTATTTGTGCAGTGTTGCTAATATTTGCATGGTTCCTGACGGCTCTAACACTGAGGGCGTAACCTTCAGTATTTGTCCAGTGTTGCTGATATTTGCATGGTTTCTGACGGCTCTAACACTGAGGGGGTAACCTTCAGTAGTTGTCCAGTGTTGCTGATATTTGCATTGTTCCTGACGGCTCTAACACTGAGGGTGTAACCTTCAGTATTTGTCCAGTGTTGCTAATATTTGCACGGTTCCTGACGGCTCTAACACTGAGGGTGTAACCTTCAGTATTTGTCCAGTGTTGATATTTGCATGGTTCCTGACGGCTCTAACACTGAGGGAAATGGTCAGTCCCTAAATATGGTATTGAATGGAGAAATGTTTCCACTCATCCCACACTATACAGTATAATCTGAAACTTTTGTTGTGCAACGTTGATGGTTTTGGTGGTTAGAGTGCAGCTGCAGAATTAGGTGTCTGCGAAGGGTTCATTGCATGTGTCATACTTACAAAATGAAGAATTGTCCTGACCTGGCAACTATTCGATAGATCATCGGAGTGTCCTTTTCCTTATTATTGACGTCAGATTAATGTGTATATTGTACTTTACAGGCATTGGGTAAAGAAGTGTCAACTCCACGTGTCCCGCAGCTTGAGAAGAAGGGAGACAACTCAGTAGACAGTGGCGCAACCAACAGCCTCCGAGACCCTGTCCTATATTCTGCTGCAGGTACACCTACAATTTTGCATTACCATGAAAACAAGAAAAGCCCCCAAAATAATGTATCTTTTAAGTGACAAAGAGTAATTTAATTGTCGAAAACGACATGTTGTAGTTGTACTGTTGAAATACTTTGTTTTAAACAAAAATGGGATAGTAGATTGTTTAAAATTGTGTTGTACATATCATGTATGTTTTTATGAAAACGTCACTTTAATAGGAATGAATCTTTCCTTCTTGAAGCAAAACCACATTACAACAGAATTGTGTCTTAAATTTGTTCGCACATCTCCTGTGGATTTGATCATGGTGCAGTATATTGGGAATGGCAAAGTGTGGGAGGAACAGGATTAATTACTCAGGCTTAGGCAGAGTGTCGGAGGAACAGGATTAATTACTCAGGCTTAGGCAAAGTGTGGGAGGAACAGGATTCATTACTCAGGCTTAGGCAAAGTGTGGGAGGAACAGGATTCATTACTCAGGCTTAGGCAAAGTGTGGGAGGAACAGGATTTATTACTCAGGCTTAGGCAAAGTTTGGGAGGAACAGGATTCATTACTCAGGCTAAGGCAAAGTTTGGGAGGAACATGATTCATTACTCAGGCTTAGGCAAAGTGTGGGAGGAACAGGATTAATTACTCAGGCTTAGGCAAAGTGTGGGAGGAACAGGATTAATTACTCAGGCTTAGGCAAAGTGTGGGAGGAACAGGATTCATTACTCAGGCTTAGGCAAAGTGTGGGAGGAACAGGATTAATTACTCAGGCTTAGGCAAAGTGTGGGAGACACAAGATTCATTACTCAGGCTTAGGCAAAGTGTGGGAGGAACAGGATTAATTACTCAGGCTTAGGCAAAGTGTGGGAGGAACAGGATTCATTACTCAGGCTTAGGCAAAGTGTGGGAGGAACATGATTCATTACTCAGGCTTGTTAACAGAATCTTTTGTGGAGATTCTCTGTCTACCTTATACAGACATGATAGATTCTATTTCTCTGTCGACCATACACAGAGTTGATAGATTCTATTTCTCTGTCTACCTTACACAGGAATGATAGATTCTATTTCTCTGTCTACCTTACACAGGAGTGATAGATTCTATTTCTCTGTCTACCTTACACATGAGTGATAGATTCTATGTCTCCGTCTACTTTACACAGAAGTGATAGATTCTATTTCTCTGTCTACATCACACAGAGTTGATAGATTCTATTTCTCTGTCTACCTTACACAAGAATGATAGATTCTATTTATCTGTCTACCTTACACAGGAGTGATAGATTTCATTTCTCTGTCTCCCTTACACATGAGTGATAGATTCTATGTCTCCGTCTACTTTACACAGAAGTGATAGATTCTTTTTCTCTGTCTACATCACACAGAGTGTTAAATTCTATTTCTCTGTCTACATCACACAGAAGTAATAGATTCTATTTCTCTAACGACCCTACACACAAGTGATAGATTCTATTTCTCTGTCTACCTTACACAAAATTGATACATTCTATTTGTCCATCTACGTACCTTACACAAAATTGATACATTCTATTTGTCCATCTACGTACCTTACACAGAAGTTATAGATTCTATTTCTCTGTTGACCATACACACAAGTGATAGATTCTATTTCTCTGTCTACCTTAGGCAGAAGTAATAGATTCCATCTCTCTGTCTACCTTACAGCTCTCTAACTCAAAGTAAGGGATGGAGGGTGGGACAGCTCTCTGACTCAAAGTAAGGAATGGAGGGTGAGACAGCTCTCCTACTCAAAGTAAGGCATGGAGGGTGGGACAGCTCTCTAACTCAAAGTAAGGGATGTAGGGTGGGACAGCTCTCTAACTCAAAGTAAGGGATGGAGGGTGGGACAGCTCTCTAACTCAAAGTAAGGGATGGAGGGTGGGACAGCTCTCTAACTCAAAGTAAGGGATGGAGGGTGGGACAGCTATCTAACTCAAAGTAAGGCATGGAGGGTGGGACAGCTCTCTGACTCAAAGTAAGGGATGGAGGGTGGGACAGCTCTCTGACTCAAAGTAAGGGATGGAGGGTGGGACAGCTCTCTGACTCAAAGTAAGGGATGGAGGGTGGGACAGCTCTCTGACTCAAAGTAAGGGATGGAGGGTGGGACAGCTCTCTGACTCAAAGTAAGGGATGGAGGGTGGGACAGCTCTCTGACTCAAAGTAAGGGATGGAGGGTGGGACAGCTCTCTGACTCAAAGTAAGGGATGGAGGGTGGGACAGCTCTCTGACTCAAAGTAAGGGATGGAGGGTGGGACAGCTCTCTGACTCAAAGTAAGGGATGGAGGGTGGGACAGCTCTCTGACTCAAAGTAAGGGATGGAGGGTGGGACAGCTCTCTGACTCAAAGTAAGGGATGGAGGGTGGGACAGCTCTCTGACTCAAAGTAAGGGATGGAGGGTGGGACAGCTCTCTGACTCAAAGTAAGGGATGGAGGGTGGGACAGCTCTCTGACTCAAAGTAAGGGATGGAGGGTGGGACAGCTCTCTGACTCAAAGTAAGGGATGGAGGGTGGGACAGCTCTCTGACTCAAAGTAAGGGATGGAGGGTGGGACAGCTCTCTGACTCAAAGTAAGGGATGGAGGGTGGGACAGCTCTCTGACTCAAAGTAAGGGATGGAGGGTGGGACAGCTCTCTGACTCAAAGTAAGGGATGGAGGGTGGGACAGCTCTCTGACTCCAAGTAAGGGATGGAGGGTGGGACAGCTCTCTGACTCCAAGTAAGGGATGGAGGGTGGGACAGCTCTCTAACTCAAAGTAAGGGATGGAGGATGGGACAGCTCTCTGACTCAAAGTAAGGGATGGAGGGTGGGACAGCTCTCTGACTCAAAGTAAGGGATGGAGGATGGGACAGCTCTCTGACTCAAAGTAAGGGATGGAGGGTGAGACAGCTCTCTGACTCAAAGTAATGGATGGAGGATGGGACAGCTCTCTGACTCAAGGTAAGGGATGTAGTGTGGGACAACTCTTTGACTCAAAGTAAGGGACGGAGGGTGGGACAGCTCTCTGACTAAAAGTAAGGGATGGAGGGTGGGACACCTCTCTGACTCAAAGTAAGGCATGGAGGGGGGGACAGCTCTCTGACTCAAAGGTAGGGACGGCAGGTGGGAGGGCTCTCTGACTCAAAGTAAAGGATGGAGGGGGGGACAGCTCTTTGACTCAAGGTAAGGGATGTAGTGTGGGACAACTCTTTGACTCAAAGTAAGGGATGTAGGGTGGGACAGCTCTCTAACTCAAAGTAAGGGATGGAGGGTGGAACAGCTCTCTGATTCAAAGTAAGGCATGGAGGGTGGGACAGCTCTCTGACTCAAAGTAAGGGATGGAGGGTGGGACAGCTCTCTGACTCAAAGTAAAGGATGGAGGGTGGGACAGCTCTTTGACTCAAAGTAAGGGATGTAGTGTGGGACAGCTCTTTGACTCAAAGTAAGGGATGGAGGGTGAGACAGCTCTCTGACTCCAAGTAAGGGATGGAGGATGAGACAGCTATCTAACTCAAAGTAAGGGATGGAGGGTGAGACAGCTCTCTGACTCAAAGTAAGGGATGGAGGGTGAGACAGCTCTCTGACTCCAAGTAAGGGATGGAGGGTGAGACAGCGATCTTACAGAGCAATAAAATATCAGTTGATGGCTTTTCTGTTGAAATGCATTAGATATGGGCGGGCTTTTTTCCAGGCATGGGTTAATTGCTGAAAAAAATATGGTTATTAAAAAAGATCTGCTCTTGACTACCAGATTTAAGATGGAGGTTAGACATACCTAGCTGATTTGTTAGATAGGTTAGATATTCAGAGATACAGATATATATATATACACTGTAGATAGCTACTATCTGTTCTCAACAGGAGTGAGATACCAGGCCCTTTATCCTTACACTGCCAACTTCAAGTCAGAGATCAGTCTACAGGAAGGGGAGATAATCTGGGGAATTGAGAAGGACAAGAATGGCTGGATGAAGGGCCAGCGTGAACGTACAGGAGAGACGGGATGGTTCCCAGCTGTTTATGTGCAGGAATTAAGTGTAAGTAGCAGAAAATTGTTTAAAGTAGTACTATTTAAAAATTGAGATTTTCTCGATTCTATTGTTTACAAAATTAGTGTAATATATGTATGTGTGAATTTGAACATGTTTATATACTAGCATTTCAACAGCACCACTAATGCAGAAATCCACACCACAAAAAAAAAAAAAAAGTTTTCCTCTAAATACTTCATTGTTACAATAAGACTTATGTTAATGTATCTGTGTTCTACATTTCGGTACATACTTTGAATAGGTAAGGGTTGTTCTAAATCAATTGTATGTCAGGATGGGAGACATGTTTTAGAGGCGCGAGCGCTTTACCTCCAATCAGTTGTAGAGGATTTTTTGTAAGGAAACCTCATGTTTTTATACAGTTTGAAGAAATAACTATCAAACATCAGATAAACATGATTTATTAAACCAACCACCAATGTTTGGGAACCAAATTATGTGGAAATCATGAATAACTGTTGAATATTTACAATAAGAATGACCTATAAACTCAGGTTTAGTGGTTAGATTGTAGGAACTATGTTGTGTTACCTTGGTCTAATGAATTAGTCAGAAGTAATTAAGAAATGTCAAATTTAAAGTAACACATAATATTTCTAACCGAACATGTATTGAAAAATTCTTATCATTTTGACATTGCATTAAGTTTGTATTTATAAATATTTTGTTCATCATACTGGTTTTCCATATCTGTCTGTCCAGATCAATTTCTCTCTGTGTGTAGTATTTAGTATCATCAGTTTTACCAAATGTTTTCATTCCTTAGAGTGAAGTCTTTCCCGAAAATTTACTCTGTTTTTCTGTGCTCTTGACTCAATATTACAGAAAGTTTCTACGTTTTAGGGAGCTGCTTCCCCAGTTACAGGTATTGTGGAGGACACACAGGTGTACACGCAGCTTTTGGCCAACAACAGCAAGGACCAGGAGGTCATCTGTATCGGTCAGTATAGTCGGTCGACTGTTACAATATCTCTGTTGGTCAGTATAACCAGTCGACAAAATTACCTGAAAGGACACTGCTTTATTACTTTCATTCTTTCATATCAAATTTGAACTTTCCATGCTGTAGAAATTCTTACTTTGACTAAAATATGTTAGCACTCTATGACATAGATATTTCAGCAACATTGCTAACACTAAAGTCACCAAACTACAACGTTTAAAGAGCCAAAAAATGTAAATACATGTTGCTATTATTTTTGATGGTGCTACAATATTCTATGCAGAAAACCATCTGTACAGATTTGGTGTGTACATTTTAGGTACTGTAAATATGCTTTTGTCTGTACTCATCAATGTTTATAATGGAGATATAGATGATGCTACTGGAATTTTGTAAGAACTTATCGATATAATTAACATGCATAGAAGATATAAATTTGTGAATGAGTATTATTGCAAAAAATGTAAAAATGAAAATAAAATTTAATAGATTACAAATCTGCTGTAGGCTTGGAAACATGACATAAATTTAATTTCTGTGCTTGATTTGTAAGAAATTACTGCATTAACGTATAATCGGATAGTAAATAATGTCTAGCTTTTCTGTCCACTCCTGGTTTCGATTTACCAGCTATGAGTAAAGTCAGTGAACACCTTTAACGACAAGATTTCTATTTCAGAACATCTCGCAGTGTGTCCATTTGCAGCGGAGAATGACCAGGATCTGTCGTTTGACATAGGCGACACAATTTTAGTGTTTGACACGCTTGAGAATGGATGGTGGCTTGGTTGTCATGGAGATGATGTGGGCTGGTTTCCTGGAGTTTATGTACAGGTACGACTTGTCTCCTTGATGGATTTGGTCCCGACAGTGTTTGTCTTAAAGTTCACGTCGTTAATTACGACACATGCTTACAGAGGGGATCACAGCAAATGTAATGTTTCGGGTCAATAAGACAAGAGAATGTAATGTTCCGGGTCAATAAGACAAGAGAATGTAATGTTTCGGGTCAATAAGACAAGCGTCACTGATCCAGAATATTTACTTTGCTTTTAAAAGCATGAGCAGCTTTATAGAAAGTTAATGCAAATATGGATGTATGTTTTATTATGATGAAATTGGTAATAAACCCAAGTTTATAGTAATCGGAGTTTATAGTAATCGGAAAATTCATCTTAACCCATTCACCCCTGAAATTTAATAATGAACTATTCCAACCTTTGAAGTGGAAGAGTTCAAATGTGTCTTCAGGGGTATATGGGTTAAAGTCTCAAAAAAATAAAAATGATATCATTTATAAAGTTTAAAACTGGGAAAAATTCAGGAATCTTATAAGTCTTTGAATGCTCTGCATGGATATTGTCTGGCTGTAAGACCATCGGGGACCTGGGGGTCTGGTGTAGTTGTTGTGATGTGTTACAGATCCCAGACCTTGGGGTAGTTGTTGTGATGTGTTACAGATCCCGGACCTTGGTGTAGTTGTTGTGATGTGGTACAGATCCCAGTCCTTGGTGTAGTTGTTGGGATGTGTTACAGATCCCAGACCTTGGTGTAGTTGTTTAGATGTGTTACAGATCTCAGACCTTGGTGGAGTTGTTGTGATGTGTTACAGATCTCAGACCTTGGTGGAGTTGTTGTGATGTGTTACAGATCTCAGACCTTGGTGTAGTTGTTGTGATGTGTTACAGATGACCATCGGGGACCTGGGGGTCTGGTGTAGTTGTTGTGATGTGTTACAGGTCCCAGACCTTGGTGTAGTTGTTGTGAGATATTGTCTGGCTGTAAGACCATCGGGGACCTGGGGGTCTGGTGTAGTTGTTGTGATGTGTTACAGTTCCCAGTCGTTGGTGTAGTTGTTGTGATGTGTTACAAATCCCAGGCCTTGGTGTAGTTGTTGTGATGTGTTTCAGATCCCAGTCGTTGGTGTAGTTGTTGTTATGTGTTACAGATCCCAGTCCTTGGTGTGGTTGTTGTGATGTGTTACAGATCCCAGACCTTGGAGTAGTTGTTGTGATGTGTTACAGATCCAAGACCTTTGTGTAGTTGTTGTGATGTGTTTCAGATCCCAGTCGTTGGTGTAGTTGTTGTTATGTGTTACAGATCCCAGTCCTTGGTGGAGTTGATGTGATGTGTTACAGATCCCAGACCTTGGGGTAGTTGTTGTGATGTGTGACAGATCCCAGACCTTGGTGTAGTTGTTTAGATGTGTTACAGATCTCAGACCTTGGTGTAGTTGTTGTAATGTGTTACAGATCCCAGTCCTTGGTGTTGTTGTTGTGATGTGTTACAGATCCCAGTCCTTAGTTTAGTTGTTGTGATGTGTTACAGATCCCGGACCTTGGTGTAGTTGTTGTGATGTGGTACAGATCCCAGTCCTTGGTGTAGTTGTTGTGATCTGTTCCAAATCCCAGTCGTTGGTGTAGTTGTTGTGATGTGTTACAGTTCCCAGTCGTTGGTGTAGTTGTTGTGATGTGTTACATATCCCAGTCCTTGGTGTAGTTGTCGTGATGTGTTACAGATCCCAGTCGTTGGTGTAGTTGTTGTTATGTGTTACAGATCTCAGACCTTGGTGTAGTTGTTGTGATGTGATACAGATCCCAGACCTTGGTGTAGTTGTTGTAATGTGTTACAGATCCCAGACCTTGGTGTAGTTGTTTAGATGTGTTACAGATCTCAGACCTTGGTGTAGTTGTTGTGATGTGTGACAGATCCCAGACCTTGGTGTAGTTGTTGAGATTTGTTTCAGATTCCAGTCCTTGGTGTAGTTGTTGTGATGTGTTGCAGATCCCAGTCCTTGGTGTAGTTGTTGTTATGTGTTACAGATCTCAGACCTTGGTGGAGTTGTTGTGATGTGTTACAGATCTCAGACCTTGGTGTAGTTGTTGTAATGTGTTACAGATCCCAGTCGTTGGTGTAGTTGTTGTTATGTGTTACAGATCCCAGTCCTTGGTGTTGTTGTTGTGATGTGTTACAGATCCCAGGCCTTGGTGTAGTTGTTTTGATGTGTTACAGATCCAAGTCGTTGGTGTAGTTGATGTGATGTGTTACAGATCCCAGGCCTTGGTGTAGTTGTTGTGATGTGTTACATATCCCAGTCCTTGGTGTAGTTGTTGTGATCTGTTCCAAATCCCAGTCGTTGGTGTAGTTGTTGTGATGTGTTACATATCCCAGTCCTTGGTGTAGTTGTTGTGATCTGTTCCAAATCCCAGTCGTTGGTGTAGTTGTTGTGATGTGTTACAGATCCCAGTCCTTGGTGTAGTTGTATGATGATGTTTAAACTATAGATATGATGAACAATATTAGAGATAACCGCATTCCTGAACTAATTTGCTTGTAAATTCTCCTTCAAATTGTGCAGATAATTAACCCAGACATAATTTCAATTTAAAGAAAATGGCTTGAATATTTCAATGAGATCGAGCATAGATCATGCTAGACCCTTCATTAAAAATAGAATTGCATTGTTCAAAACAAAACATTTAAAGCAAGAAAAGCCCAGCATCAATCATACTGTGTAACTGATTAAAAAAAATCCACCCTTTTCAAATTATACTTTTCCAAACTGTCAAATGAGAAAAAGGATTTTCCTGTTCTTGTCATTGTTGTAACATTCATTTATGAGTTTTACAGATTCATTATCATATATGTTACAAATCACAGACTGGATATTGTTATGTGCCCTGACACTTATGTTTCTGGTTATTTTTATGTGGAATCTTGTTAATCCCGGCCTCAGTAGTCAGGAAATATTTGATTCCTGACTTTGACATCCTCTGTAAAAAAAACCAAAAAACCCCCAGAAATATGGTCCCAAATTAATACTAAAAATGATCAGCTTTTAATATTGAGAACTTTTGTTTTCGAAATTGAATTGTCCAGATTTTCAAGGTTCACAGTGTGTGATAATAGCTCTACTGTCTATTACCTAGTCTTGTGGACTCTTTAGATATTAATCATTCTCTGTTTTGTCACCTCCAAATACTGTTTTATCCAATTTATTTGTTTTTCCCTTCTGAATATGAGTTGAAAAATGTGGTAAATGAAATGTGTTGGTGTGAATATTTCATTACATGATTTACAAAATTTGAGTCCAGAATACAAGCATATTGACAGGAGAATCTGCCCTTATTGTCCCCTGATATGCTGGGTTTGGAATAGATGACATGTTTGATGATCATATTGACAGGAGAATCTGCCCTTATTGTCCCCTGATATGCTGGGTTTGTAATAGATGACATGTTTGATGATCATATTGACAGGAGAATCTGCCCTTATTGTCCCCTGATATGCTGGGGTTGTAATGGATGACATGTTTGATGAGCATATTGACAGGAGAATCTGCCCTTATTGTCCCCTGATATGCTGGGTTTGTATTGGATGACATGTTTGATGAGCATATTGACAGGAGAATCTGCCCTTATTGTCCCCTGATATGCTGGGTTTGTATTGGATGACATGTTTGATGAGCATATTGACAGGAGAATCTGCCCTTATTGTCCCCTGATATGCTGGGTTTGTATTGGATGACATGTTTGATGAGCATATTGACAGGAGAATCTGCCCT